GCTATTTTTTTTTTTTAAATAGCAAAAAAGGACATAGAGGAAACCTTACCACTCCATGTACTTACTGCTCCGTCCCCTGGCAGGTGGCTTTCCTCAGAATTATTTTATTTTTTCAGAGAGAAAAGGCAAACGAATCTCCAGGTTTGAGGCCAGCTTGGTCTACAGTCAAGGCTACACAGAGAAACATTGTGTCGAAAAACTAAACTGAAAATAAAAACAAACAAAAAACCCACCTCGGGAGTTTGCCTGAGACCTGCGCTGACACAGAGAAGAAACACACACACAGAGAAGAAACACTGCACTTGCTAAAGTGGTCAGATTAAAGGAACAGTAGGGCGAGGGCTGGCCAGGAGAAACAATCCTCACTTGCTAAGTGTGCTGGCCACTCAGAGGAGCAGAGTGAAGCTGCTTGCTTATTTCCCACGCTGCACAGCTGGGGTGTCAGCCTAGGAGAAGGCAGAAAAGGCTGGCATGCCCAATTTGGTACAGAACGGTGGTTTTTGAAATCTTGATGGCGTTTCCCTGCTCCCCAAATCCTTTGTTGGCTGAGTTCTTCCGGGAGGTACGGTCTTTCCAGTGAGCTAATGTAGGTCCCAACTCAAACTCTTCATCTTCCAAAGGCTCAAGGACCTTTCTCTTTGCTACTCGTGGGCTCAGTCAACATAGCAGATTTTCTTTATCTTTCCAACGCTAAATAGATAAAGTAAAACTTGCGCAACCCAGCAGGCAGCGGTGGTGAGCTGGGGAAGACAGGCTTAGTGATTCATTGTTGAGCTCAATATGTATCTCAAACTGAGAATGGACAGAATGATTTGTTTCTCGGCAGGGGCCAGAGAAGAGGTGGGGAGGCCATGCTTCATGGAAAATAAGTGTGAGAAGATGGAAAAGTTCTACAGGTAAATGTTGATGATGGTTACCCAACAATATGAATGTGTGTGTGTGTGTGTGTGTGTGTGTGTGTGTGTGTGTAGTGCTTGGGATCAAACCCAGGGTCTTGTGCACACTAAGCAAGCACTCTACTCCTGAGACCTACTACCAACCGTGTTGTGTGACATTTTGTTTGTGTTCTGAGATATAAAACTTGCCTGAGGATCAGAGTGCAGAGTTAAGTCACTAGTCAGCCATAGAGGCCAGGCAGTAGTGACACACATCTTTAACCCCAACACTTGGGAGACAGAGGCAGACGGATCTCTGTTAGTTCCAGGCCACCCTGGGCTACACAAGATTGATCCAGTCTAAAAGATAAACAGAGCCAGGTGGTGGTGGCTCACACCTTTAATCCCAGCACTAGGGAGGTGGAGACAGGAAGGGACGTGGCTGGGCAGAGAGAGGGTTATAAGGCGGGAGAAGACTAATGCTCAACACATTGAGTCTGAGGATTCAGTCTGAAGTTTCCTAGAGACAGCGTTCAGTCTGAGGATTCGTGGAGACAGGATCTTGCCCACTTTGGTCTGAGGATTCGGTAGAGGTAAAAGGACTCTCTAGTGGTTGACTGCTCTGCTTCTCTGATCTCCAGGCAAGCTTTATTTGTTAGATCACAAACAAAATATCACCACACAGCCCCCAAAAAGTAAACAATGTCCCAGAACTGTCCACTTGAAAATGAGGCTGGGACTTGGGCTCACCTAGAATGCTCAAAGCCCTGGGTTCCGTCTCCAGCGTGGCATAAACCGACCGAGCAGGGTGGGGCATGGCTGTGATTCCAGCACCCACAAGATTGAGGTAGAAGAATGAATTCTAGGTCATCCCCAGCTACATAAGGAATTCAGTGCTTAGCCTACGTAAGACACTGTTTCAACAAAGGAGGGGGGCAGAATTAAAGTGTTCTGATTAGTAACGGACATCACAAAAGAAACTATGAATCTTAGATTTTTATTTCACTTTCTCAAAAAATATAAAAAATGAAATACAGTTCTTGCCTTGATAGCACATGCCTTTAACCACAGAACTTGGGAGGATGAGGCAGAGGCAGGCAGATCTCTGAGTTCAAACTCAGCCTGGTCTACAGAGAATGGTCCAGAACAGCCAGCACTACACAGAGAAACCCCACCTTAAAGAGAGAAAGACGGAGACAGACAGAGACACACACAAAGAGAATATAATGCAATGTATTGCTTTTCTTACTGACAATGTGTCTTGGAGAGGTTTTTACAAAACAAAGCAAAAATACTTTAACAAAAAACAGTCTAGGGGAGAAATGGTTTGCTTTATCTCACAATTCCAGGTTACAGTCCACCATTATCATTCCAAGGAAGTCAAAGCAGGGAACTGAAGCAGCTGGTCACACCCACAGTTAAGAGCAGAGGGAACCACTAAGACTCAGCTGGCTTTCTCTCTCTACCCAGACAATTCCGGATCCAAAGCAATGCTACCACCACAGTGGGTTAGGGCTTCTCAAATCAGTTAGCGTAATCAAGACCAGCTTCCCACAGGTGTGACCACAGGCCAAGCTGATCCACGTAATCCGTCACCGAGGCTCCTCCCAGAAGACTCCTCCCAGATCGTGTCAGGGGGGGGGGGGATAACTAACTCGAACCCCCTCAGGCACTAGCTCAGTGGTTAAGGCAGCTCTTGCAGAGACCCAAGTTCAGCTCCAAACCACCTCCAGCTCCAGGGGATCTAGTTCCTCTGTATGGCTTCTGAGGACATGGGCATACATTTGCACACATAAATAAAAACAAATCCTTTATAAAAAATAAAGACTACCGACCACCACACATGTGTTTTAGGCATGGAGATGTTCAGATTTTTGTACAAAAGAGAAGAACAAAATATGCACATACAATAGTCACAGCAAACCTAGAGAAAGTGAGAAAATGACTTCAGGCTTCAGAGATGCTGGCTTCCCTATCTGATTCAAGCTATTTTTCCACTTTGAGATAAGGTCTCCAGCAGCCCTGGGTAGCTTAGAACTCACTCTGTAAACCAGGTTGGCCTTGAACTCATAGAGACTGACCTGCCTCTGCCTCCTGGGTGCTGGGATCAAAGGCGTGCACGCCACCACACCTGGCTCTAATTCAAACTTTTTTACCCTGGTAAACTTGGAAAAATATTTTCACACCATAGTTTTTAAAAAGAAGATTATAGCTGTGGCGTTCGCCTGTTTTACGCAGTCCTCAGCTTAAAGTTTGCAAAATCTAGTTCTCGCTTCTCTCTCCTGTTCTTCATCTTCTTTGTTAAAGCTTTTAACTTATTGACCTCAGTATTTCTGCTACATCCATTGCCAGGATCAAATCCTTATTCTTTTCAAAAGCATTCCTTTAACCCAAGGTCAAAACCAACGTGAAATATGAGGAGGTTATAAAAAGACTAAAATCTAGAACAGCCACAACCCCGATGTACTTTATCCAAATTTTTACAACTTTGAAGTGCACTGGCTACAGAAAGAAGGCAGGGTTTTATGTTCCAGCCAGAGGAACCAAACACAAGAAAGAATGAGGCCCCATCCTTTCTCGATTCCATGGCCAACTTCTCAACCCAAAACTCAGAGAAAAGAAAGACAGACAGAAACGGGGAGCGGGCAGGCAGAGCCAACAAAAATGAACGGTTGTCATTGTTTATTTAGAAAACAGTTCCCTGGGGTCTCTTTTTTATTTTTCCCCAAGGAAAAAAATTATTTCCTCATCTTACTTTCTAGAAGAGGAATGCGTAAGAATAAGTGGACCCAGACAATGCCTGCGCTCGGGGCTGTGGGGAAGTGGGACCACGCTAAGTGGCTCACGGCTGGCAGAGTTTCCTGTCTGGCCTTGTCTGATCTTGTCCCACTTCTGGACATTGGCTTTGAGCTTGGACTGTGAGCCAGTTCCAGCTGTAGACCTGGAGGAGCCTCACCTGCTTCAGTACGTTCCACCCTCATTCCAGCAAGGAAAGCCTGTCTCATCAAAACCCACAATGTCCAGGAGGAAGAGTGGAACAAAACTGTTTCAACAGCTTCAGCTGCCCCAGCCTGGAGCCCAGCCCAGCCCGGGTCAGTCCACCTTCTGCAGATAGCAGACTACATCAATAAAAGTAAACACTGACTGCAGGAAGCCCTGGAGGTCTGGAGAGCCTGTAGCCTCTCTCTGAGCCCTAATGTTCACCCCCATAAGGGCTTTCAAGGGTTGTGGTTCTATACCTCAGGTGGGGAAGGACATGGGCAGTGTCTGGTCTGCACAGCGTGTTTCTCTTTGGATTTGCCTCTCTGCCATGGGACAGTTCCCATCACCACCTGCCCTGCTGCCGTGACAGACCTGTGATCCAGCTGTGTGGAGTCCGTGTTGGGGGTGGAGTTGAGCACTTGGTGAACATGGGGTCTCTTCTCCCACATCAAGAGCATTAAAGACAACAGTCAAGTCAATACAGGAAAAAGTGAAGCAAAGGTGGGGAGGGAAAAGACAGTGAGCTGAGCCGCCGCCTCCCTCTCTGCTTTCTGCCTGTGGGTGCCACGTGAGCCCCCTCACGCCCCTGCCTCCACATCATCTCCAACATGATGGGCTACACCATACATAAAACTGTGATCCAAATTAAAGCCCCCATTTCAGTCGCTCGTGTCGGATATTTTGTCAACAGCAATGGAAAAACTAACAAACGCCTTGGCCCTGCTTCCACGTATGGCTGTAACCAGGGGGATGGGAGGGAAGCAGCCCGTGCTGAAAGCAGAGACTCTGCCGTGTTTGGACGTTACGTGGTAAGTTAGCATCCAGGCACACCGGCCCCTCCGCTTGGGGACCTAGCGGAGTGTGTCACCCCTGCAAGGATAGCAGGCAGGTCCCTGGCTCCGTACACAGGTGCAAGAGGTCCGGCTAAGGTGAAGCTCCGCCCACCCTTTCCCGCTGCTGCTGCTGCTGCTGCTGCTCCTCCTCCTCCTCTGAAGAGGCGTGCAGCCCTCTCTCTCTCTCTCTCTCTCTCTCTCTCTCTCTCTCTCTCTCTCTCTCTCTCTCTCCAACCCCTCTGCCTCTCTCTTTTCTTCCACCACTTTTGTCCCCAGTGGCCAGTCCTCCCCCTCCCCTCTCCCCTTTTCATTCCCTTTCTCTCAATAAACTTTCCACATAAGCTTGGTCTGTATGGCGTGTCTGTCTCTCACCCACTGTGGGAACCAAGCTCCAATCTCACACCGCATCATAGCAGGTACTACTATAAGACCAGGCACTGTCATCTCCCCTTGATCATCGCCTAGATTTGTCTGGGGCTAGGAGGCATCTTTTGACCTTCCTCTCTACTCAAAAGCTGGAAGACTCTGTAGGTCCTCTCTGTGGGCTCTTTGATCATGGTCTGGACAGGAACTTAATCATTGGCAGCCCGGAACTAGGAGAAAATGTCAACATCAAGCACTCAGATCCCTTGTGGCAACTAAGCTTAGCACTGAGTGGAAACAGAAGTAGCCAGAGCAGAGAGAGAGAAGGCAAAGCTGTCTCACACGGGCTAAGATTCCTGCAGCCGGCAGCAGAGGGCGCCTGACTCTGCAGCTTCGGCTTGTCATAGGGCGGTTCAAAGGCACACAACCGTGGGTTGCAAAATTTCTCACATTTGCTTGCCGTTGATTGCTTCTTTCTTCAATAGGAATATTTGCTTCTGGACTATTCCTTTATACTGTGTGAAGATGTGTGATTGGTTTAATAAAAAGCTAAACAGCCAATAGCTAGGCAGGAGGTATAAGCAGGACGTCAGGACACAGAGAGAACTCTGGGAAGACGAAAGGTGAGATTACAAGCCAGATACAGAGGGAGCAAGATGTGCGGGAGGACAGGTAAAAGCCACGAGTCATGTGGCAGCATGTAAATGAACAAAAATAAGTTAAGTTATAAGAGCTAGTGGGACAAGCCTAAGCTATAGGCCAAGCTTTCATAATTAATAACAAGTTTCGGTGTCATTCTTTTGTGAGCTGGCAACCCAAACAAAAATTCATCTTAAGAAGTAACTTGAATTATGTATTTTCCTGATTGTAGTAGAGTTGCCTGATGTGGGATTCCCCTCTGTATTCTGTGAATATGTTTTATTATCATTGGTTAATAAAGAAGCTGATTTGGCCTGTGGCAGGGCAGAATATAGCTAGGCTGGGAAACTAAACTGAATGCTGGGAGAAAAAAGACAGAGTCAGAGAGACGCCATGTAGTGGCTGAAGGAGAAAGACACCCACCTAGAACATTACTGGTAAACTACGAGCCTCATGATAAAATATCAAATAATAGAAATGGGTTAATTCTATTATTAAAATTACCTAAGATGTAAGAGTTAGTTAATAAGAAGCCCGAGCTAACAGGCCAAACAGTGTTTTAATTAATACAGCTCCTGTGTGATTATTTCGGGCCTGGGAAACAGCCGAGCAGCCTCTGCCTACAACTGCCCATGCATGTGTTTCTTTTCAACAAAGTCAACTACCTGCAGAAGCTGAGTCTTTGTCCCTTCTAACCTGAAGGAGTTTATTCTCTACACCATCCATGTCAAACTCATCTACACCTAGACACCAGATTAACTACAGGAAATCCTTCCCTGGGGCCAATCCCCAGTTTTGAATAAAACAGACAAAGCAGCAGCACTTGCTCTTCCCGAGAAGCTCCACCCACTCCAGTGGAGACACTCCTTGGTGACAGAGGTTTGGCCAAGCACGGCTCTCCTGAAGGATGGCTGCTCAGCTGGACGAGTCCTCCCAGTGACCCCAGGCTCATGGAGACCGTGCTGATTTGACCTCTTGTCCCGTGCAGTATGAGCATGAGGCACACGTGTGAGCGGAGGGACACCAGCTCAGTGAGGCAGGTTCCCTGTGACCCTTGATCTCCGCGTGTTCTATCTTCCCGTGCGCATCTTTCCCAGCCCAGTTACGGCTTGGGCAACTTTGTCTGGTCACCGTCACCATCTCCTTTGGTGAAAAGGGTCTCAAACTTGTTCCCCTCCCTCAATCACCGTCTCAGATGGAATCCTCAAAGTTCCTTCTGGGGTTCTGGGGGCAAGATGCTGTGCACAGGAGGTTCCTGTCTGGCCGCCAACAGCATCTTCCTCCCACGGGTGTCATGATTCTGAGAAAAAAGAAAGAACAACAAGCTATTCTTTATGATGTCTAGAAAATCTAAGCCTAGGACATCTGGTAAGATCGGGAGGGAACTGTTTCAGTATCTGTCCTTGGTTAAGAGAATTTCACATGTATTTATTCATAGATAACTATAGCAACCAAAGGTTAAATGTTTGAACATAAATGCAAGGCAGAAAGGATTAAAGGTAGATTTTGCCAATTTCTCAGGGCTTTGAAGACAGGCAGCATGAGAATCTGCTCTTGCCTTAGGGGCGTCTTTACCCACTGCCATCTTGATTCAGGTGTTGGGAGATGCCAAGCCTCCCGGGACTTGCCTGGGAGGTGTGGAGGATACATTTGGGGATTGCTGGAGCTTGGAGCCTGCCGGGGTACCATGAGTGTTACAAAGGAGCCATTGCTGCAAGCCAGGCCAGGACGGATTGCTCCAAAAGCCAATTAGCCCCAACCCTGAGTCCGGATGAGGGAGGAGGTGGATCTCAGTGGGGCAATCACTCTGCCCCCAGCAAGGTAAAGTGGGTTGCCATCCTGTCCATACCGAGCCATGGACTGTTGTTACACACCTAGCTCATACCACCCACTCTGACAAAAGGGAGGTGGCTAGGATGTTCACCTGAAGCAGAAACGAGCCACGTCACGAGGCCTGAGATGAAGCTGTGAGGAGCTCATGGGGTCGGGGAAGCAGCCTGCAGATGCAGCAGGGAGGCTCTGTCAGGGCACGTCATGGCCAGGCAGCAGGCTGTTTCAACATTATTTCTCCGAGGTTATTAGTAAGGGCTGCACTGGGGGGTAAGAGATGATCCGTCTATTAGCTGGGCTCCAGCGACGCTTTGATTAGGGCCTTTGTCATCCGAGTTGATCCTGGGGAGATGAGACATGGAGCCACCGTTTCTAAGTCAAATTTCTGAGCGTACTCATTTCTTTCTCCCAACAGGTCCCAAGAGGTGGCCTCTATCACTTTTCATGTTTATTTAACCCCAGAGGTGTCTTTTAGTGACAGCAATGCCTTGTCTGCACAATCAAATCTTCATTTCCACAGTTGCTTTTAAAACATGCCCACCAGGGGCTGGAGAGATGGCTCAGTGATTAAGAGCACTGGCTGCTCTTCCAGAGGACCCAGGTTCAAAACCCAGCACCCACATGGCAGCTCACACCTGCCTCTAACTCCAGTTCCAGGGCACCTAACACCCTCACACAGATTTACATGCAGACAAAACACCAATGCACATAAAATGAAAATGATTTTTAAACTTACTGCTTAAAAATGTACACCAAAATTGAGAATAAATATTTATTAATATTGTCAGTTAAACAGGTATCCAAATAAGAGGTGTCAAGAACCTCGGGTAAAATAAAGGCGGTCAGGGATAATTAAGAGCCGTGTCCCCTTGAGATGCAGGTGGCTTACTATTCTCTATGTCCTATTGTGCAGTTTGAACTGTGAGCCATGTGCAGCAACTGTCTCCTCAAAGGGGAAAGTAAATTTAAGAATCCAAGCTGACTGTTAAACTACGTCTCCTTAAACCTCCACGAGAAAAGGGACCGAGCTCGGCTTTTTGAAGCGCCCTCCCCCACCCTCGGTGTTCCAGTTCCTTTAAGGAGCGAGTAAGCCTGGGTGGGAGTTGGAAACCGCATCTAATCCCTCCCTCCCCGCACGCTGGTCAGAAGGGCCATCTGTTTTGCTTGAGTGAGTAGTGACCCAGCATTCTGATTTCAATTAGCCTCTTTGTGGCTTTGTGTTCGGGCTGGTTCCGTGAGTAACAGTTCTCACGAAGTGTAGAGAGGAGCTGGCCAAGTTACACGGCTGCAGATTTGTTTTTCACAACTGTGAACCGATGTAGAGCAAGCGTACGAAGCAATGCTGCCGGATGCACAATGCAATTTTAGGGAATCAAAACGGCATGTTCTGGAATCTGAGAGCTAAAAAAAAATAGTGACAGCGTTCCTTTCTGTTAATTGAACTATTTAAAATCGGTATAATTATTTAAATGCCAATTTCAGTCATCAAGTGTACGCCTATCATGGAAAATGTATCGTGGTGGGGCTCCATGTTGACTTGCTGGTAGCCATCTTGAGTCATTGACCCATGATTGCCCAAGGAGGCAACCTCCGTGGTTTCTCAGCACAGCAGAGTAAGCTACGGAGTTATCATCAGACTCTGGAGCCTCCAGAAATGTCCTGAAGTGGCTGATGTTAGTTCCAAACCAGGATCAGTCCTGTTGGTACAGATGACCTTCTCTCTGACCCAAGTTACAGGGATCTGTTGACCTTCCTGCCACCCTGACTATGTACGTCCCCCCAGTCAGCAGGTGCGGTGACCAATGGTCTCTGTAAGGCTACTGATCATGATCAGTGCATATGGCCTATACTAGTCTTTGCTAACAGAGGCCAGAGGAAACAGTAAGACTTTAGAAAGCAAAATATAACACTGGTGAGAGAGATCAAATAACCACTGAATCCACAAACAAAGCAGAAACGACAATCAGGTATAAGGAGTGACCACTGTGCTCAAGTGAGCAGGCAGAAGGGAGCCCGCGGACTCCCAAGCGCTGAAAGAATAATGATCTTTTTACCTTTAACATTTAGACCTAAGACTACACAGGGAAGGTTACAAACAAAAGGAAGACAGCTCTATCTACGTAAAAACAGACAAGCAGGAACTGGAGAGAAGGCTCAGGTCCAGGTGCCAGCAGCCAGAGGCAACTCAGCCCTGGGGGCCCCTCCGTCCTCCTCTGACCTCAGAGAGCACCAGGCACACCCTAGGTGCTCCCTAGACGACTCAGTGAATAAAAACACTTGCTAGGAAGGTTGGCAACCTGAGTTTGATCCCCACGGTTCACGTGGCGGAAGGAGAAAACCATGCCCCAAAAGCTGTCCTCTGACCTCCACATTTGAGGTTTGGCATGCTTGTACCCAACACATACATATTAACACAGAATAAAGTGTAATTCAAAACTTTTAAAAAAGATTTATTTATGTACTTTATGTATATGGTGTTTTGTCTGTATGCACACTTGAACACCAGAAGGGGGTGCCAGATCCAATGGGACTACAGTTACAGATGGTTGTGAACCACCATGTGAGTGCTGGGAATTGAACTCAGGACGTCCGAAAGAGCAGCCAGTGCTCTTAATCACTGAGCCATTCCCTCATGCCCTCGTAATTTAAAATTTTTGAGGGAAGACCCGCTTTGAGTTTATGTTTATTGTGGTGCTGGGGGTCAAACCCAGAGTCTGGCGCATGCTAAGCAAATGCTCAGCCTCTGAGCTGCGCCCCTGCAGCAAAAGCTCTTCGTTTGCAGCAAGCAGAAGAAACAGACTCTGCTGACACAATTGTGCCTTGTGCTGTAGATGGTGGAATCATCTTGTACTTAACTAACTGCAGCTTTACATTGAGGAAACGCTTTCAAATGTATACTTTTCCTCCTGTAATCCAAATAGATGGTGGCCATAATCTGAGCCTACAGCAAGGTCAATGGAAAACGTGCTTTGCTTTTAAAAATATGTCTATCTTTTTTTTTTTAATGTGTATGAGGGTTTTGCTTGTATGCACGCATGTGTAATGTGTACCTGCCTGGTGCCCTCAGAGGCCAGAAGGGGGCACAGGATCCCCTGGAACTAGATGGCTGGCGGCACAAAGTAGGTCTTTATAAGACTTTGTAAAGTTGATATTAAAGACAAAAAAAGACTCCTTTAGGATCTGCGATGCATTGTGGGGACTGGTGTTCTGTAACTCTCAACCCTGTCTGTAAAGATGTCTGGACACTGTAAGGCGTGACGGCACAGCCATGGATGGGCAACCTTCAAGTCACGTGACTGCCCCTGGGTGGCACCTGTGTCCACACGGGGCACCTTCCAAGTATCACTTTCTGTGCTCACCTTCCTTGAAATTGTCCCATTCCCTAAACAGCACACTCTGGGGGCTCCTTTAATTAGAACCCTTGCGTTGCATAAAACCTAAAACGCAGGAGCTGAGCTTCGTTAACTCCGTGTCAAGTCTGTTCCACTCACTGGTATTGTTTACGTTATTAGTCTAAACCAAGAGCTTTAAAATAGCATAGCTAAGAAAATTTTGAAGTGACATGAAAAGATTCGGAGGCATGTATTTTCAATTCAGAATGCAAGCGGTGACCCCCTGTGTGCACGCTGCCATAGCAACGGAAATGGGCAAATCAGAGAGCCCTGTCCCCAAAGAGCTTACTCATACCTTCACGGGTGTTAGTGGTGGTGGTTGCAGGGGGCACCTACCACAGAATTCCACGGGAAAAGATCTTTACAATGAGGGTTTATAAAAACATTTCCAAACTTATAACCAAGGTTCATTATTTTAAACAATGATGTGGCTGGGTGTGGCGGCATGCCTTTCATCCCAGCACTCCGGAAGCAGGGGCAGGTGGATCTGAGAGCCTGAGGTCCGCTCAGTGTACACAGGGAGTTCCAGCAAAACCAGGGCTGCATAGAGAGACCCTTTCTAAAAAACAGACAAACAACAAGAATAGCAACAATGAATCAAAAAGGCTGTCTAGCTGCAGCAGCAGGCCGAGGGTGCCCAGCACCAAGCCCTCTTACCTGGACACACATGCAACCCTCCCCCATAAATAAATAAAAAAGTAGACTCCTTCCGAGTTATTTTTGTGTGGTGTGTGCCAGAGGCCAGACATCAGGCACCCTCTGATGTTCTCAACCTTGTTTTTTAAAAAATATTTTTTTATGGGTAGGATTGTTAGTCCTGAGATTTGCCAGAGAAAAACCAGTTCTACTGTGACCTTGGGCCAAATTAATGCAAGGTTTATGAAAATATTTTACACTGACAAAGATGGACGTTGGTCAGGACCACTCCTAGAGCTACCCCAGATTGACCCTGAGACACATGTTGTCCAGGCTATAAAGACAAAATCCATACATACATTCTCATGAGGCTTTGTTTTCAAGAACTACAACTCCCAGCATCCCGGAAAGTTACCTGGTCCTTGGGCAGGTGGGGTTTACAGGTTAATTTGAGGTGATCGTTACAGGCATGACTGGCACCTGCAGAGTTCAGAAGAGGGCAGGTGTTAGCTTCCCTGGAAGGACAGTTAGAAACAAACGGTTGTGAGACACCCTGTGGAATGCTGGGAACGGAACCCAGGTTCTCTGCAAGGGCATGTAACTGTCGAGCCATCTTCCTGGCGCCTCTACTTAATTTTTTTTTTTTTTTTTTTTGGTTTTTCGAGACAGGGTTACTCTGTGGTTTTGGAGTCTGTCCTGGAACTAGCTCTTGTAGACCAGGCTGGTCTCGAACTCACAGAGATCCGCCTGCCTCTGCCTGCCGAGTGCTGGGTTTAAAGGCGTGCGCCACCACTGCCCAGCTCTACTTAATTTTTCTGAGACAAGGTCACTCCCTATGCCCGGAGCTCATCAACCAAACAGCCCGTCTGGCCAGTGAGCTCCCCGGGACTCTCTTGCCTCTATTCTGTCCTCCTAGCCTTAGGGATACAGGCAAGCAGGGCCAGCTTATGCCGGTGGTAGGGATACAAACTCAAGTCTTCAGGGCAGAGAAAGCCGTTTACCACGGAGCCATCCATCTCCCCAGTCCCTGCTGCCTTTCTCCTTCCTGATCGATGTTGGTTACGTCAGAAGCAGGACTTCTCGGAGAAACAACAGCACTCTCCCCAACCCGCCCACGAGTGTGAGAAAACCAAAAGAGCAGTCTGGCTATGGATACATTGTGGCTACCCCACTGCCTTGTTTGCTACTAGGTATGAAAACCTGGTCAGAGGAGAGCCCACCTTTTCTCCATAACAGTCTCTACAGGTAGTGGTCAGGTAATGTCACTGGGGCGTGACCAAAAGGTGGGTCTGCTGGGACACCTGGTTCAGTGACCAGTTTTAACCCTGAGTGTTGACCAAACCAAACCAAACCAATCCAAACCAAAACCCACAGAGAGGGGTCAAGACGCGTGCTGCCAAGTTGGGTGATCTGAATGACTGGTGGCTCACAACCCACGCCAACAGGGCTGGAAGGAGAACCTGCTTCCCAAGGAGGTCTGTCCTCTGACCTCACTGGTACTGTGGCAATTGTTCCCTAGACGTAGCACTATAGAAATGACGTGTATTGTGATGGGCTGGAAAAACAGGCTGTCCGAACTGTCTACACTGCAGCATGCATCCCATGATGCAACTGTGAGGATATTTTGAGGTGAGGCTTGTAAGGAGATAATGAAGGTCAAGCTACTTCACACAGGCCCTAATCTAGTCAGAACGGAGTCTTTCTAAGAGGGAATCTCGACAGGCACACCAGGGATGTACATTAACAGAAAATGTCAATGCTATCCCCATGAGTTAGAGGGTGGAAGGGCACCTGTTTACCAAGCTGGAGGCCCTAGGTGTGATTCCTCAGCATGGGAAAGAAACAGAAAAGTGACCACACCATGAGGGGCCTCACGAAGAACCAAGGCATTTACAGACGCACACCCTGAATCCACTCGATCCTGTCTGATCTTGAGAGAATCTAGCTCACTGACACCTTCCCAGCTCTGAGGGAAACATCTCTGCTGCTTAAGGTCACTCTGTCATCCAACATCCAGTCCCTGATGTCCTGTTATGGCAGACGTATCCAACCAATACCTCCAGACAAGAAAGACCTGTAATTAAAGCTGTTGCTGGTTTATTTTCACATCTGAGAATAAGACTTTTGAGGAAAGGCATTAGAAATTGAGCCTAGGGGGTTGGAGAGATCGCTCAGTGGTTAAGAGCCATGGCTGCTCTTCCAGGGGACAGAGGTTCAATTCCCAGCGTCCACATGGCAATTCACAACTGTCTGTAACCCTAGTTCCAGAGGATCCAACAGCCTCACACAGATATACATGCAGGCAAAACACCAATGCACATAAAATCTAAAAAAAAAAAAAATTTAAATTAAAAAATAATTAAGCCTGGCTGGAGAGATGGCTCAGAGGTTAAGAGCATTGCCTGCTCTTCCAAAGGTCCTGAGTTCAATTCCCAGCAACCACATGGTGGCTCACAACCATCTGTAATGGGGTTTGGTGCCCTCTTCTGGCCTGCAGGCATACAGACAGAATATTGTATATATAATAAATAAATAAATATTAAAAAAATTAAGCCTGGGGCGGCATTACACGCAGAGTTCTCTACCCGAGTTCTACCTGGAGGCTTCCTTTTCATCTTTAATTTTGAGGCCCAGTCTTACTAAGTTACTCAGGCTGCCCTGGGCGTCAGTAGCCCAGGAGGGTCTTCAGCTTTTCCACCCTCCTGAGAAGCTGGGATCAGGCCAGCAGCACTGGGTGCTTTGGATATTCATGGCACAACTTTTGAGGCAGATGTGCGTGAAATGCTATTAGGTTCTCTTCTGGTCGCCAACCCGAATGTGGCAGAACAAATCCTCATGACTGAGGCTGAAAGGCGGCCTAAGCCCATAAATACGCCTGTGTGCTTTAGAATGTTAACACTAGGTTTCGCTACACTATGGTGAAGGCTTTTTCTAATTTCCTAAACCGAAGGGCTCCTGAGCACACGTAGTTTGGTGTGGCTGGGGCGTCAGAGGTCAGCGCTGCACAGGCTGTGTTGCTTGAAGCCCATTCGGTCACAGGTGTCACAGGACGAGCATATGATGAACCAGCTGGCTGCAGAGGACTTAGGAGGTGCTCGCAGGCCCCGGCGGTGAGGCAGATACAGACCGGGGGGCTGGAGGTGGAGAGAGGTGTCCCAGTGCCCTGAAGCCCTCTGTTGGATGAGGCAGGTCTGGAGGGCTGAGGTCCACACAGATGTAAACTGAGCTTGCGGGCCGTGAGGATCCTTCAGGCTGTCCAGCAAGCTGGCGGCTGCAGCCAGAGGTGTATGGAATGGTTAAGAGGGTGAAATGGAATCAAAGATACTGGTGAGAACAGACATGGACTAGGGAAGGACTTCGGCCTTCACTGGGCAGACAGTCTGCTGTACAGCAAGCCTCCACCAGGACACGAGCAGGGCTCGGCCATGTCAGTCTGGATGATGTGCATTATTGTGTTTTCCTTACATTTCTGACTGTGAATGAGCAAAGCACAGAGAGAAGCTGCTAGCTAATCCAACATATATATTTTAAAGTATCTTGATTTCAAAATTTGGGTCTAAGGATATGTTGCTTTGGAAAAGAGGTTCTGCTTGTGTTTCCACAGAGGATGAGAACCTGTGGATTCCTTCCAGACTAATGTGATTTGATGAACAAGACCACCCTAAAGGTCTCCGTGAACCCCCCAAAATCACTTGCCCAACAAAAAGCAGAAACAGTTTGGAGATCTATGTCCAAATTCCCTAAATGATTGCTTATGTTTGTTTACACTTAAAGGGGGATATGCTATAGAGATGGATACTTTGCATTGGTACGGATCTTGGTTTATTGATACAAATTAAAGGTCAATTTTGTTATATGTATATTTCTGCTCTTGATTAAGGTATTGTGTTTGTGCAGCTCACTTAAAAATGTAATGTATAATACAGGTTAATTTATAGTCATCTATAATAGTCAAGCTTATAGTCATGTTGTTTTCTAGATATTTAGATATATTTTAATCTTCAAACCTTTCAAAGACCTACAAAATGTCATTTAAAATGTTTTAAGAACTTAGGATTTTTCATGACAATAAGACACATCTGCTCCTGGCAGCACTGATCTACTTCAAGGGGATGATGAGCATCAAAGAGGCTCCTTAGGGAGTTTGTTAATCATTTGGGCAAGAAACTAATCTTGCCTGGACTGCTTGAGTTATGCTGTATGAACTAGACATGCAGGACACATAGAAAAATGACTGCTGAACTTGCCTAAAGGTGAGACAGTCCTTCAGGGTTCCTGCTTCATGAGTCTGCTAGACATTCTGCAGGACACAGAAGAAAGCAACTGATGAACTTTGCCATTACGAGGCAGAACAGATCTTCAAATTTCCTGCTTCATGGAAAAGTCTGCTGGATACTATGGGCCTGCAGGTTGAAAATAGATGCTACATTACAGAAGAACTTTGGGAGACTGTCCAGGCAATGAGATGTCTCTGTCAATTCTAAAGTTTTGGAAGTTGCTTACAATGCACTTCCTGTTAAATTAGGTAATATTATATCCTTCTGGGGTTTTTGATGAAGTTGAAGAATAGTTATGATTATAGTTTTCCTTACTTATGATAAAAGGTAAAGTAGATGTAAATATTGTAACTGTAATTCTTACTTGATACTTGTTTTGCTATATGTAATTTTACTATGTTAAAGTTAAAACCTTCCTTTTTATTTGAACAGAAAAGGGGAAATGGTGTGGGAAGTCTTTCTGTATATGTGTTGCTTTTATTGGTTAATGAATAAAGATGTTTTGCTCAGTGGCTTGGCAGACTAGAACAAGGCAGGAATTCCAAGCAGATAGAGGAAGAAAGAAAATGGAGCAAGAGGCCATGTAGCCATTGCAGGAGAGAAGTTGGGTAGAACCCTGCCGGTAGGTCATGACCTCATGGTGATGCAGATTAATTGAGATGGGTTAATTTATCATATAAGAGGTAGCTAATACGCTTAAGCTACTGGCCAAGAAGTGTTTTAAATAATATAGTTTCTGGGGCTGGAGAGATGGCTCAGAGGTTAAGAGCACTGACTGCTCTTCCAGAGGTCCTGAGTTCGATTCCCAGCAACCACATGGTGGCTCACAACCATCTGTAATAAGATCTGGTGCCCTCTTCTGGCCTGCAGGCATGGAGGCTGAACACTGTATACATAATAAATAAACAAATCTTTAAAAATATATAGTTTGTGTGTGATTATTTCAGGTCTGGGTAGCTGGGAAATGAATGAGCAGCCTTCGCCTATACCCAACTCACAGTTTCAAACTTTTACAACACTGATAATAGCTTTGGATTTCGGACTCTGAGACTAAGGAGTGTCAACTGGATAAAATCTGGAACAAGCACTTTAGACGGGGGTTACTAGGCCCGAAAGTCACTTCTCTCCTTCAGAGTGTGTGTGAAATGTGGCTGGTGTATACAGAACACTAAGGACAGACGAAAACATCCAGTCAACTGTGCTGGTATCTGATTGTTCACTGCAGCACAATGAAAGACCAGTACTGCAGGCTCGCCTCACCTTCCCAGGCTGGGATTCAAGTGTGCACCTGGTCTAGCTGGTGTGTAACGTCTCTGCAGGAAGGCCTGGCAACTGAGTGACAGTTAGGAACCTTTGTTTAGGTTTAAAGCCGGTGTCTGATGTGTCCTCATGTGCAGCCAGCAATGAAGCCCTCAATAGAGAAGGCATTCACGGACACAGATTCATATTTGAAACCACTTCAGATTTCTGTATAAACAGATTTACACTTGCCAGATGTATCTAAGAAAGTATTAGTGATTCCCTAATCATAGGACAAGAATTATTTGTGAAATTTAAATTAAACCACTGCGATCATGGGGACAAAGGTGTCCTAACTACTGCAAATGTGCAGAACACAGAGCCTAACCCACACTGTGTGCAAGGAAGTCCAGGCTGCCCTCCAACATCACCCTTCACCTCCACTACAGACATGATGGAGGTGCGCCATTACACCTGATGACTTAAAAAAAGAATCACTACACTTTGGACCTAGGTCAAGAATATAATTATTAATAGTAACAATATAAGGCCTGCATTATATTCTACTAAATGTGTTGTTTATCTGGCATGACTATAATTTGTATCATTCTTTTAGAGTGGAAATTCAGATCTGACAAAACCCAAAAGGCTAAATTTCACCTGTGGTCAAGAGATTCATGTTCACAGAATCTTCTTAAATATGCAATAGGGAATAATGCAATGAAGACATTTTTACAATATTTATTAAGATAACAAATTTATAAATTCGAAGACTCAGAGGCACATAGTTTAAAAGGCCAATACCATGGGAATAATGAAGTCAACACAGAAGAGTAAGAAGATATGACAATTACAACCAATACAAGATTTTTTAAAGCCACATTCCCCCCAATGAACATGTCATAGGAATCATCCTTCAAAATTACCATGATAAAAAGTTATTTCCTTCAAAGAAAAATAATTCTTTCCACCTACCGAGCCTAGAAAATCCTATTTACAACAGCAAACTGTCCAGTCTCATCAGTATTATGGCCTCCTCTAATCTGCCATTACAAGTATTGAAAAGTTTATAGCTATCATATTTACAAATGCACATAATATTTAAATCTGCTCCTCATTGAGAACAACTGATACAGACCTAACCCAATCACAATACGAATGCTTTAGTGTTGAGTACATCATGTGGGCACAAGTGCACGGGGAGAGGTGGACTTAGCAGTGCTGTGTCTCAAGGATTACTAGGCCAACAAGTCTGAGAGAACTCAAGGTAGTCACAAAACAGGTCTCTGCTGATGAAAACTTAGTTTATTTCTGTTTGAAATGGACACACTGGGCTTCTTCAGTCAACTTTCACCACACTGTATATTTTGGTGACAAACCAAAAGCATGCAAAGAAGCCAATTGTTCCTAGAAAAGAAAAACAAAACAAAATTAAGTCCCTTTCAAAAGAAGTTCATTAGTTTAGATCAAAAAAGCAGATGTAAGGTGACTGGGTCCTCTAAAAAGAACAAAACTTTTCAGTTTTGATGGCCAAAAATATAACACAGCCCCATGAGCTTTCCTTCTGAGGAACATGAAATCACTTAAATTCCTTACAAAAACATGTAGAATTTCTTATATTGTAAAATTATCTAAGTTTTCCATAACATACATTATTCCTTTTTTGGGGAGGTGGAGGTGGGAAACGAGGTTCTGTGTACCTCTGGTGGTCCTTGAATTAAGAGATCTGTCTGCCTCTGCCTCCTGAGTGCTGGGATTAAAGGTACGCACGACTACCAGAAGTCCAGCTATTTTCCTTTCTATAT